CATCCCCCCGTGCACGCGCTGTGGCTCATACCTGCGTGTGTGTGCACACCCTCTGCAGCTCGTACCCACCAGTACGCCCTGCTGCTCATCCCCCCGTGCACGCGCTGCGGCTCATACCTGCGTGTGTGTGTGCGTGCACTCACTCTGGGGCTTGTACCTGCATGTGTGTGCCAAGCACCAGCAGGTTGTTTCCCTCGGGGTCAGCCCCTCTGCACCTTCCTGGCCAACAGGGGCTGTTCCTGCGGCTCATCCACCCGTTCGTTGAACATTCTTGGGATACGGTGTCAGGGCAGAGTGCAGGACGGATGCGTCCTGCTGGCTGTGGGGCGTGTGCTTGCCAGGACTGAAGGTGAACCACAAGGATGCTCTGGGAGGTGCTGAGAACAAGGAACAGGGCCCAGCTCACTGCCCACTTCACAGGTGACCTGGGGGTGGGCAGGGGTCTGGGCCGGATGTGGGCTATGCCACTAGACCCACAGGGCAGCACGAGGCTGCCCGAAGGCTGTGTGCCCAAACGGGAAGCCTGAGCCGTGCATCCTCAGCAGTCTCTCCTTTGCTGGATGGAGCATTTTCTTGCTTTATCCTCCTGACTAACTCAGTCTCCAGGGCTCTGGGCTCCAGGGGACAATGATGAGCATATCCCTGAGTGAAGACTCCCATCAGTCACCCGAGCCTTCTCTTCTTGGACTAATGAGGACTTGGGATCTTCCGGCCTATCTGAAATTTTATAAATGCATATCATCCCATTCATTTGGGAGCAAGATTTCAAACCCTGGTGTTCATCTTTTCATCCATGGAGGAATATCATGTTAAAACATAAGTACTGTGTGCCCATTTCCCATCGCTTGGGGTGGCTGTCTTCCCCCCGGCCCTGCACAGCTGGCTGTCAGGGGAGAGCCAGACCCACTGCTGTGGCAGGATTACCAGACGGGGGTGCTACCCATTCATCCACCAACTCTCCCAAACAACCCCCTGAGGCTGGCGCTGTCCCTCATCCCGACAACATGCCTAGGCAGCTCCATGCAGCTTCTGGACTCCCCAAATGGCCCAGCAATCAACAGTGCAGCCTGGAGTCCCACCCAGAGGGAACACCAACACCCAGGGCCTCCCCACCCTGACCCAGGGTACCTTCTCAGAGGTCATGCCACATGGGGACTCTGAGGAAAGGCCACCACGTGCATGTGGGCTCTCAGTGTTAGCCTGCCAGGGAAGGCCCTCCCTTAATGGGTCCTTGGTGTGACTGCTGTGTAGACCACCACCTTGGGCAAGCTGCCACTCTGAACCCTCCCTCCTTGTCTGCAAAACAGCGTAACCAGCCCTGCCTGTCATGGCTGCAGTGCCCTGGTGCCTGGAAGGCCAGCCGTCCATCCTGGGAAGGGCGTACCTGCCCTTGGGAAGAATACTGCCCTGGAGTCCCTGCACCTGTGTGGGCCTCTGGGAAGGGCCCTGGTTGGGGCAGGAAGCAGGCCAGCAGACAACCCAGAATGTCAAGAGATACCTGGAAATTGGGCCACTGTGGGGTCTTCGGTACACTCTCCACTCGGCCACACAGGAGAGACCTGAGACTGCCCCAGGAGCACAGGCGTGCTCAAGGAAGACGTGAGAGCCTCACAGAAAGTAAAACCTGGAGCAAAGCCCCACAACATACACACAGACCCATCGCCTGAGCTGTGGGAGCACAACCCTGGCGTGTCACTGGGTGGCTGAGCCACGCTCCGTGTGCCACTCTCCCTCGGGAAGAAAAGCCATCAGTGGAATCTGCCACCGAGTGGGCACAGTTGGTGGACGAAGCCAACCCCAAGGCAACTACTTTTCTGTAAATATCTTCAAGAACCAAGGGAAACAGTGTTTCAGAATTTAGGGAAGTATGGTGAGAATGACATACAGGTGGAATCTCAACAAAGGTAGAAGTTATTTTAAAACAAAAGGAAATTCTAGAGTTGGAAAGTACATACTTGTAAC